TTGGGGGAAGATGCTACATCAAGTGTGGGGTTATCTGAGGGAAAGGAATCTATATATACCAAGCTCTTTCATCTGTTTACTTTATTACTCTATAACAACATTCTATCTATGCAGCTTCAGTTCTGTCCTGACACTTAGTTCCTCTTTGTCCCTTCTTTTTCTGTCTTCTCATAGCCTAGTAGTAACTAAGCTCTTATGCCTCCATCTTTTCTCCCTCTTCTCCTTTCCTGACCTGATATAAATCCACCTACAGTCTGTAGAACTTTTCCTTGCTCTTACTCCTTGGCCTGAGCCAGTCTGCCTTACCATCTACAGAAACTCTGCCTTGTTCTCTTCTCTCCGGCCACACTGCTCTACTGGACCAGGAAATCTGCTCCAGTCTTTACTGCACCTGGTTATACAAAAACTCTTTTGCCTTGAGTCAGTCACTCTGGCATGCCACTAGGCCCCTGAAGGAAACAGATGGTCTGTGAGTTTCGTTTGCACAAGAAACAAAGTTGTGCATCTACAGTCTGCCTGTCTCCCAGGCTCTGTAGGGGTGTTACCTAGTAGATCAGCAGTAGATCTGAGAAGCTTAACTGCTTACCATAAGGCCTATTGGTATACCAGCACACAAGAATTTCATAGCAGAAGACAGCTGATATATTAAAAACTGAATAACACCAAATACTCCTTAATAAATAGTTTCCCTCTAGAAAAATACCTTGACTTTTCTAGGTATAGGTTTTATTATATACAGCTGAATCTCTATAATATATTCTTGTGGCCTGCAGCAGGTATCTACTGTGGGAATCTGAGGATTCCTGAGGGAGGGCAGCACCCCTCCAAAGCCGTTCCATTCAAAGGGCTGTGAACCATGGCAACTCTTATCAAAGAAAGCATTTAATTGAGGCTTGCTTACAGTTTTAGAGGTTTAGTCCATTATGACATGATGCTGGAGAAGCAGCTGAGAGTTCTACATCCACGTCTTCAGAAAGTTGGCAGAGAAAGCCACTGGGCCTGGCTTGGGCTTTTGAAATCTCAGTGATGATACACTTCCTCTAACAAGGCCACGACTCCTAATTCTTCTCAAGTAGTGCCACTCCCTGATAACTAAGCATTCAAATATATGAGCCTATGGGGGCCATGCTTATTCAAACCACCACGATCTCTTTCTATTGACTGGGATACAATATGACCAACTGCCTGCTGTTCCTGTAGTCACGCCCTTCCCTCCAGCTCCCAGGAGTGCCTTGCATCGCCTCAATCTAGGAGCCAAATAAACCCTTCCTTCCTTTAGTCACTTATTGTCAGGAACCTGGTCATAACCCCGAGGGAACTAACTAACTCACAGGGTTAGGGATGATGGGTGAGTGGGTTGTTTCAGAAGTAGGTTTGCTCTCTGTGTTCATGTTCTTTAGAGGAATAGAACTTATAGGGTGAATATATATTGAACGGTGACATGGGGACTGGTGAGATGACTCAGTGGTTACCTGTACTGGCTGCTCGGCAGAGGACCTGGGTTCGGTTCCCAGCACCCACATGGTGGCTCACAACTGTCTATAACTTGAGCTCCAGGTGATCTTGTGAAGGTCTACACTTAACTTTACAGGCTCAGGAATGTGCCATGACAACTCGAACGGATACAGAGCCGTATCTTCTTGCAGACATCCTGTTTGTGGTTTATGGCCCTAGAAGATATCTAGATAATCCTGCTGAGCAGTCCAGATAATCCTGTTCAACAAGTTGTGGTTCCCTGCCAAAAATCTAACCCAATGGTTTCAAATGTGGTTTCACGCCCAAAGTCTAGACCAATAGTTTCAAAAAAATCACCTTGCCCCATATCCCTTCTACCCAATTCCGAGTTGCCAATTCCTGGCTTGTGGTTTTTCCCTATAAAAACTCTCTACACCCGGGCTCATGGCCGTTGCCACATTTCCTTCCATCTGCCTTGTGGTGGCCCAGATTGAACCTGAATAAAAGGACCCTTATGTGCTTGCATTGGAAGCTGGCTCCTTGGTGGTCTCTGGGGGTTTCGCAAAATGGGTACAACAATCTGACAGTCTCTTCTGGCCTCCACGGGGCACTGTACACACATGGTGCACATACATGCATGCAGACACTCACACATACACATCAAATAAAAATTCAAGGAATGTGGTGGTGAGAGGGATTTGTTCGATTGGTTTCTGTGTATGGTCCAGGCAACTCAGTACCTGGCTGACTCACACTAGAGAGGCTAAGAAGCTAGTAGTTGCTCAGTCCATGAGCCTGGGTGTCTCAGATGTCCTAATCTCACCCTTGAGGATTCTGGGAGAGCTTCTGGTCTTCACCCTGTGCCAAAAGCCTAAGGAAGCGTATTCTAATATCAGCAAAGGACTGTAGCAGTAACAGCAGTAGGGTAGATGAACTTGCCAGCAAGAGTGAAGACAAGCAGGCTAAAAGCCAAGCCTTTTTCTCCCATAACATTTTATCTAGACTGCCACCAGAAAGTTCCACCACATTTAGGGTGGGGTTTTCCACTTTAAATAATCTGACCAAGAAAGACCCTCATGAGAGTGTTGATTCTATTCAGGTTGACAACCAAGATTAGCCCTCACACTCTCAAAGCCAACATGGTTAGCTATATTGAGAACTCCCAATCTGTGTGGGATACCCTTCACCACTCCAGAATTCTGTGATGAAGGATGCCATCAACTGTAGTTCTTTACTCTTACACTAGAATCAGGGTCCCAAATGTATTTTCTTCAAAGTGTACTTAGCCTTGCTGGGCAGTAGTGGCACATGCCTTTAATCCCAGCAGTTTGGAGGTAGAGGCAGGCAGATCTCTGTGAGTTTGAGGCCAGCCTGATCTACATAGACAGCCAGGGCTACATAGAGAGACCTTGTCTCAAAGAAAAAAAAAATCTGTGGTATGATGTTATTAGCAACAGAAAGCAGGCAGAGTAATAAAAGATACACTATTTAACTGTTGTGGGATATTTGTACACTGTGTGAAGATGTGTTGCTGTCATTGATGTAATAAAAAGCTGGAACAGCCAATGGCTAGGCAGGAGGTATAGGCGGGACTTCTGGGCAGGGAGGGATGCAGTGGATGTGGGGGGAAAGGAAATAGGAGATAAATCTAGGTGCCAGGAGGCATGGAAGAAGCAGGATGAGTGGTACATGACAGGACATAGATGAAAAGAAACGGGTTAATTTAAGTTATAAGAGCTAGTTAAAAACAAGCCTAAGTTAAGCCAGGCGGTGGTGGTGCATGCCTTTAATCTCAGCACTCAGGAGGCAGAGGCAGG